CTGTCAAACTCCCTCTCACACACGTGTGTGTGTCGCTCCAGGTCACGGGGTGGTGTGTATCGACCTGAAGACATGGAGCGGCTCGGTTTCGGCCCGGAGCGAGACTCGGGTCCGGTCGCAGCAGCAGAACCTCAGCAGCGTCTCCGCCGAGCAGCTTCCCGACGCGCTTCAGGCCATCACGGTCAGACCATCCTTCCCTTCCTCAGAGCAAACCAGTTCAGCTCCTCAGACAAACCAGTTCAGCTCCTCAGAGTAAACCAGTTCAGTTCCTCAGAGTAAACCAGTTCAGCTCCTCAGACAAACCAGTTCAGCTCCTCAGACAAACCAGTTCAGCTCCTCAGAGTAAACCAGTTCAGTTCCTCAGAGTAAACCAGTTCAGCTCCTCAGAGTAAACCAGTTCAGTTCCTCAGAGTAAACCAGTTCAGCTCCTCAGAGCAAACCAGTTCAGCTCTTCAGAGTAAACCAGTTCAGTTCCTCAGAGTAAACCAGTTCAGCTCCTCAGAGTAAACCAGTTCAGCTCCTCAGAGTAAACCAGTTCAGCTCCTCAGAGCAAACCAGTTCAGCTCCTCAGAGTAAACCAGTTCAGTTCCTCAGAGTAAACCAGTTCAGTTCCTCAGAGTAAACCAGTTCAGTTCCTCAGAGCAAACCAGTTCAGCTCCTCAGAGTAAACCAGTTCAGCTCCTCAGAGTAAACCAGTTCAGCTCTTCAGAGTAAACCAGTTCAGCTCTTCAGAGTAAACCAGTTCAGCTCCTCCGAGTAAACCAGTTCAGCTCCTCAGAGCAAAACAGTTCAGCTCTTCAGAGTAAACCAGTTCAGCTCCTCAGAGTAAACCAGTTCAGTTCCTCAGAGTAAACCAGTTCAGTTCCTCAGAGTAAACCAGTTCAGTTCCTCAGACAAACCAGTTCAGTTCCTCAGACAAACCAGTTCAGTTCCTCAGAGTAAACCAGTTCAGCTCCTCAGACAAACCAGTTCAGCTCCTCAGAGTAAACCAGTTCAGCTCCTCAGAGTAAACCAGTTCAGCTCCTCAGAGTAAACCAGTTCAGCTCCTCAGACAAACCAGTTCAGCTCCTCAGAGTAAACCAGTTCAGTTCCTCAGAGTAAACCAGTTCAGCTCCTCAGACAAACCAGTTCAGTTCCTCAGACAAACCAGTTCAGTTCCTCAGACAAACCAGTTCAGTTCCTCAGACAAACCAGTTCAGTTCCTCAGAGCAAACCAGTTCAGCTCCTCAGAGCAAACCAGTTCAGCTCCTCAGAGCAAACCAGTTCAGCTCCTCAGAGCAAACCAGTTCAGCTCCTCAGAGTAAACCAGTTCAGTTCCTCAGAGTAAACCAGTTCAGCTCCTCAGAGCAAACCAGTTCAGCTCCTCAGAGCAAACCAGTTCAGCTCCTCAGAGCAAACCAGTTCAGCTCCTCAGACAAACCAGTTCAGCTCCTCAGAGTAAACCAGTTCAGTTCCTCAGAGTAAACCAGTTCAGCTCCTCAGAGCAAACCAGTTCAGTTCCTCAGAGTAAACCAGTTCAGCTCCTCAGAGTAAACCAGTTCAGCTCCTCAGAGCAAACCAGTTCAGCTCCTCAGAGCAAACCAGTTCAGCTCCTCAGAGAAAACCAGTTCAGTTCCTCAGAGCAAACCAGTTCAGCTCCTCAGAGCAAACCAGTTCAGCTCCTCAGAGAAAACCAGTTCAGTTCCTCAGAGCAAACCAGTTCAGCTCCTCAGACAAACCAGTTCAGCTCCTCAAACAAACCAGTTCAGCTCCTCAGAGCAAACCAGTTCAGCTCCTCAGAGCAAACCAGTTCAGCTCCTCAGACAAACCAGTTCATCTCCTCAGAGTAAACCAGTTCAGTTCCTCAGAGTAAACCAGTTCAGTTCCTCAGAGCAAACCAGTTCAGTTCCTCAGACAAACCAGTTCAGTTCCTCAGACAAACCAGTTCAGCTCCTCAGAGCAAACCAGTTCAGCTCCTCAGAGTAAACCAGTTCAGCTCCTCAGAGCAAACCAGTTCAGCTCCTCAGACAAACCATCAGTTCCTCAGAGTAAACCAGTTCAGCTCCTCAGACAAACCAGTTCAGTTCCTCAGACAAACCAGTTCAGTTCCTCAGAGTAAACCAGTTCAGTTCCTCAGAGCAAACCAGTTCAGTTCCTCAGACAAACCAGTTCAGTTCCTCAGACAAACCAGTTCAGCTCCTCAGAGCAAACCAGTTCAGCTCCTCAGAGCAAACCAGTTCAGCTCCTCAGAGTAAACCAGTTCAGCTCCTCAGAGCAAACCAGTTCAGCTCCTCAGAGTAAACCAGTTCAGTTCCTCAGAGTAAACCAGTTCAGCTCCTCAGAGCAAACCAGTTCAGCTCCTCAGAGCAAACCAGTTCAGCTCCTCAGAGTAAACCAGTTCAGCTCCTCAGAGTAAACCAGTTCAGTTCCTCAGAGCAAACCAGTTCAGTTCCTCAGACAAACCAGTTCAGTTCCTCAGACAAACCAGTTCAGCTCCTCAGAGCAAACCAGTTCAGCTCCTCAGAGTAAACCAGTTCAGCTCCTCAGAGTAAACCAGTTCAGCTCCTCAGAGTAAACCAGTTCAGCTCCTCAGAGTAAACCAGTTCAGCTCCTCAGAGTAACCCGTTCAGCTCCTCAGACAAACCAGTTCAGCTCCTCAGAGTAAACCAGTTCAGGTCCTCAGAGTAAACCAGTTCAGCTCCTCAGACAAACCAGTTCAGTTCCTCAGACAAACCAGTTCAGTTCCTCAGACAAACCAGTTCAGTTCCTCAGAGCAAACCAGTTCAGCTCCTCAGAGCAAACCAGTTCAGCTCCTCAGAGCAAACCAGTTCAGCTCCTCAGAGCAAACCAGTTCAGCTCCTCAGAGCAAACCAGTTCAGCTCCTCAGAGCAAACCAGTTCAGCTCCTCAGACAAACCAGTTCAGTTCCTCAGAGTAAACCAGTTCAGTTCCTCAGAGCAAACCAGTTCAGTTCCTCAGAGCAAACCAGTTCAGTTCCTCAGACAAACCAGTTCAGTTCCTCAGACAAACCAGTTCAGCTCCTCAGAGCAAACCAGTTCAGTTCCTCAGAGCAAACCAGTTCAGCTCCTCAGACAAACCAGTTCAGCTCCTCAGACAAACCAGTTCAGTTCCTCAGAGTAAACCAGTTCAGTTCCTCAGAGCAAACCAGTTCAGTTCCTCAGACAAACCAGTTCAGTTCCTCAGACAAACCAGTTCAGCTCCTCAGAGCAAACCAGTTCAGTTCCTCAGAGTAAACCAGTTCAGCTCCTCAGAGTAAACCAGTTCAGCTCCTCAGAGTAAACCAGTTCAGTTCCTCAGAGCAAACCAGTTCAGCTCCTCAGAGTAAACCAGTTCAGCTCCTCAGAGCAAACCAGTTCAGCTCCTCAGAGCAAACCAGTTCAGCTCCTCAGAGTAAACCAGTTCAGTTCCTCAGAGCAAACCAGTTCAGCTCCTCAGAGCAAACCAGTTCAGCTCCTCAGAGTAAACCAGTTCAGCTCCTCAGAGATCAAACCAGTTCAGCTCCTCAGAGCAAACCAGTTCAGCTCCTCAGAGCAAACCAGTTCAGCTCCTCAGAGTAAACCAGTTCAGCTCCTAAGAGTAAACCAGTTCAGTTCCTCAGAGTAAACCAGTTCAGTTCCTCAGAGTAAACCAGTTCAGCTCCTCAGAGCAAACCAGTTCAGCTCCTCAGACAAACCAGTTCAGCTCCTCAGACAAACCAGTTCAGTTCCTCAGAGTAAACCAGTTCAGTTCCTCAGAGCAAACCAGTTCAGTTCCTCAGACAAACCAGTTCAGTTCCTCAGACAAACCAGTTCAGCTCCTCAGAGCAAACCAGTTCAGCTCCTCAGAGTAAACCAGTTCAGTTCCTCAGAGTAAACCAGTTCAGTTCCTCAGAGTAAACCAGTTCAGTTCCTCAGAGTAAACCAGTTCAGCTCCTCAGAGCAAACCAGTTCAGCTCCTCAGAGCAAACCAGTTCAGCTCCTCAGAGTAAACCAGTTCAGCTCCTCAGACAAACCAGTTCAGCTCCTCAGAGCAAACCAGTTCAGCTCCTCAGAGTAAACCAGTTCAGTTCCTCAGAGTAAACCAGTTCAGTTCAGGCCGTTTCCCAGTTCAGGGCTCAGAATACCACGGGAATCTGTAACTCTTCATTCCCCTGTAGAGCTGCTTAACTACTGAATCAGCTTCGCTTCAGAACTGGGGAGTTTTGCGACGTCGCTGTATTATTGTTGTAATAATTGTTGTTTGCAGTGTTGGGGAAAGTTACTTCTATAAGAAATGCATTACAATATTGTGTTTGTAACTAATTGCGTTACTTAGTTACTTTTTATGGAAAGTAATCCGTTACATTACTTTTGCATTACTTTTTCTCACATAAGCTGGGCTTGTTTTTTTTTTGAAGTTATATTTTTGGCACGTGTTAAGGCCCTTTCACACTAAAGTGAAGTGAGTGACAGGCAGACTCACGCCTGTACGGCAGAGAAGCAGCCAGACAAACACTTTCAGCCGCTCTCCGTTCTGAAGAACAATCAGATGCAGGAGACGAAAGCTCAACACACTTACTTCAGCAATACAAAACTTCAAAAATTAAACACAAATGTGACGTTTCTCTAAAGTAATTTTTGCTTATTAGAATAGTTGAAGTAGATCATCGAGGGTCAGCAGCAAAGACACTGGTTAATAAAGTGAGATTAAATACATAAAGTATATTTGTGTTATTTAGCATATGTAATTATTGCATGTGTGCGTAATATTATGAGAGTGCATCTCACAGCTTTTATTAATTTTGAGTAATACTGAATCTGTTTGGGGTTTTTTTGGACGTGAGATGACCCTAGAACTACAATAGCCATCATGTTCAACTTCACACACAGCGCCTCTGCACTTACTAAAGACAGGAGAGCTGTCAGTCAATAAAGGCAAAAACAAATTAACTTGCGTTAGGTATTTGGAAAAGTAACTCAGACATTTTGTTGTAAATTTAAAAGTAATGCGTTACTTTACTAGTTACTTGAAAAAAGTAATCTGACTACGTTACTCAAGTTACTTGTAATGCGTTTCGCCCAACACTGGTTGTGTGTGTGTGTGTGTGTGTGTGTGTTCATGTTTATATTACATTGTGGGGACCAAATGACCCCACAAGTATAGTAAAACCTGAAATCACCTACATTGTGGGGCCCAGCCAGCGGTCCCCATGAGGAAAACAGCGTATAAATCATACTAAGTAATGTTTTTTGAAAATGTAAAAATGCAGAAAGTTGTGTGTGATGGGTAGGTTTAGGGATAGGGGCAGTGTGTGTGTGTGTGTGATGGGTAGGTTTAGGGGTAGGGGCAGTGTGTGTGTGTGTGATGGGTAGGTTTAGGGGTAGGGGCAGTGTGTGTGTGTGTGTGTGTGTGTGTGTGATGGGTAGGTTTAGGGGTAGGGGCAGTGTAAGGGGACAGAATATACAGTTTGTACAGTATAAAAACCATTACGCCTATGGAGAGTCCCCACAAAGATGTGCGTGTGTGTGTGTGTGTGCAGGTGAAAGCCGGACTCCTCTGCAGTCACATGGTGCGCTGCGGGCAGAAGGTGCGGCCGGCTCTCTTCATCCCCAGGGTGCTCCTGCTGTCGGCGGACTGCGAGGTCCGGCACGAGCTGCTGGTGTCCGGCGTCGAGGTCCAGGCGTTCCTGCACTCGCTCCGGGCCGGATACGTGTCCTGGCTGTCCGACGCCTTCACCCCGGCCTGGATCTCAGGTCAGTCGGGCGCTCACAGAAGCCCAGAGTATTTACATTATTCACAGTTTATTAGACTAGATTAGGCAAGGCAAGTTTATTTATATAGCACATTCCACACACTATGGCAATTCAAAGTGCTTTACCCAGAAAGGAATAAAATAATCACAAAATAAAAGCAAGGAAAATTTAAACAGTTATAAAAGGAATTAAAAGAGTAAAAAGATGATATATAGATAAACTTCAACCGGTGTATCCTCTGAGATTTCCCCGAGGTGATCGCACTGTGTGTGTGTGTGTGTGTGTGTGGTTCTTTCGGCGTGACTAACAAATCTATTGGACGTCTCCGATGGACCCGATTATTCCCTAAAAGCGTACAGGAGGAGCTCTAGGACCGACTCTCGGGGGGACCTCGGGGTCACTAACCCGTCAGTCCCCAAAGATTTGTTAGGAAGCCAGCTAGAGAAGAGGTGACGTGTGAGTGAGTGCATCGGTTTGAAGGGCCATATCATGAGTTCCCGTGTGTGAGTGCTGTAATCCGGAGAACCTGAACAGTGGAACCCAGTAACTGTGTTCTGGTGAGGCTTTCTCTGAGAGCATGTCATAAAATCAGCCGATCAGATTTCGCTCCTTCTGCTGTATGAAGAGGATCTTATTATAATATTCCCGGCCCTTAATCTGCACGTTCACACACACCAGCGACATTGGGTTCGGCGAGCGCCAACAGAGACCAGTTCTAACGCACTGGAGAAGATCCAGCAAAGCCTGAAACTGTTCTGTGGTCGAGCACAGACGACACTGAACACTATTGACCAGAACATGTCAGCGCTGTCTTATAAACACCTCAGGAACTGTGGACACTTGTGGAAGAGTTCAACATGATGAGGAGATGATCAGTGTAACTCCACAACAACTACAGAAATGTCTCCGCTAACATTCAGAAACGTGTAAAAGTGAAGCTCTCCCTGAGTCTCTCCGTAAGGCTGCACTCGCTGCTGTTACTCCTGACTCTGGATCAGTGAGATCGGCCTGTGTTGTTATTGCCGGAGTCTCTGAAGCTTGTGTGAAGGCTCCGCCCTCTTCTGAATGGAGGCGGAGCTAAAGCTCATTTGCATTTAAAGGGACACCAAGCTATAATAAATGATCTGAGGGGAATTTGAGCTGAAATTTCACAGACACATTCTGGGGACACCATAGATTTATTTGAAAAGGGGCATAATATGTCATGTTTAAGGCCACAAACACACACACACGTTAATTTCAGTGTTGTGTTGATCTGTGTGTGTGTGTGTGCAGGTCACCTGTCGTACGGGCAGATGTGTGTCAGTGTTGTGTTGATCTGTGTGTGTGTGTGTGTGTGCAGGTCACCTGTCGTACGGGCATATGCGTGTCAGTGTTGTGTTGATGTGTGTGTGTGTGTGTGTGTGTGTGTGTGCAGGTCACCTGTCGTATGGGCAGATGCGTGTCAGTGTTGTGTTGATGTGTGTGTGTGTGTGTGTGTGTGTGTGTGCAGGTCACCTGTCGTACGGGCATATGCGTGTCAGTGTTGTGTTGATGTGTGTGTGTGTGTGTGTGTGTGTGTGTGTGCAGGTCACCTGTCGTATGGGCAGATGCGTGCGCTGCGTGAGCACCTCGAGCTCATGGGAACCTGGGATCTGCTCCTGCTCTGCGACGGTCAGGAACTCAGTGGAGATTTCCAGAGCTGTCGACATCTGGCGCTCAACCGACACGACACCGACCAGCTGGAGTTCAGCCGCGCCGGGAGTCTGATCACCGACACACTGTGGAGTCTGCTGGGACACACGCCTCAGGTGACACACACACACACACGCCTCAGGTGACACACACACACACACGCCTCAGGTGACACACACACACACACACACACACACACACGCCTCAGGTGACACACACGCACGCACGCACGCACGCACGCACGCACACACACACACACACACACACACACACACACACACACACACACACACGCCTCAGGTGACACACACACACACACACACACGCCTCAGGTGACACACACACACACACACAAACACACACACACGCCTCAGGTGACACACACACACACACGCCTCAGGTGACACACACACACACACGCCTCAGGTGACACACACACACACACACACCTCAGGTGACACACACACACACACACACACACACACACGCCTCAGGTGACACACACACGCACGCACGCACGCACGCACGCACACACACACACACACACACACACACACACACACACACACACACACGCCTCAGGTGACACACACACACACACACGCCTCAGGTGACACACACACACACACACACACACACACACACACGCCTCAGGTGACACACACACACACACACACACACACACACACACACACACACACACGCCTCAGGTGACACACACACACACACACACACACACACACACCTCAGGTGACACTCACTCACACACACACACACACACACACACACACACACAGACACACTCGCCTCAGACAGACATCCCAAGTCTCCCGGAAGTTCCGGGAGTCTCCCGCATATAGTGTCTCCCTGATGCCCGCAAATGAGTTCAAATCTCCCGGACTCTAGAGCGCGACAGAACAGACATGGCATTGATTGTGTCTGTGAGGAGCTGATTGGCTGATTGGCTGATTGGCTGATTGGCTGATTGTGGTTTGCTATTGGCTGATCTCATGTGAGTGACAGGTCGCCCTCTTCATCAGAGAAGAGAAGTTAATCTGATTCATAATTAACACAATAATGATGTGCACCCATAAATCATTTATAATAAACAGCAATATTCCTTTAAAAAAAAAAAAATAATAATAATTGTCAGTGTTGATTTCATGGTGACTTTAAGGAATGGTTTGTGCTCCTGATGTGAAGTTTGTCTGATTTTCACACACATTGTTTCAAAGCGGCTTTGGCAAAAATCATGATATTAATGTTTATAATATCATGTGCCGCCGTCTTGACCAGGTCTCTCTGGAAGAAGAGATAGCAATATCTCAATGTGATTCTCCTGGTTAAAAATAAAGGAAATAATAATATCTTTATGCCCTATAGTTGCATTTATCAGATTAGAGCTGGACGATAATAGTTACAATTTGAGACGATATAAACAATCAAGCAGTTGCGATTTGCTGTATAGTAGATCTTGCGTTACGTGTGTGTGCTGAACGTGTGCGCATAAAGCCCGACATAAGGAGTGTGTGTGTGTGTGTGTGTGTGTGTGTGTGTGTGAGTGAGCGTGTGTGTGTGTGTGTGTGTATTGATTCAGCAGAGACTCGCTGCTAATATGACATGTTTCATCAGATAAAGCATCAGATAAGAGTGAGCGGACGAGACACAGCTCTGCTCCACCGGATCCACAATAACACACACAAACACACACACATCTCACTGAACACACACCTCCAGTGATCACACACACAACATCGCTTCATCTCATCTATTCCTGTTTTCCAGCACAAATATCTAAACATTCCTAAATCAAATTTACTTAATTAGATATTAAGTCTTGTTTTCTAAAGAATCAATGAAAATTAAGGAAGTTTATGCCTAAATCAAGAATAAACTCACGTGTTTCCACTTTAAATGAAGTTTATTTTTCTGACCCAATTGCCAAATTTTTGTTATTGTTTGTTTCAAGGAAAACACGTTATTTTGATAATTTGATCATCAGTCCCTTAGCTTCAGTGAATCCTCGAGCGGCTCCGGACCAGAACAGCTGAAGGAGGTTTTACTCTCTGATTTTAAAGCTTTTGGTGTTTTTCTTCTGACACACTATTCTTCACAACTATAACCCATACAGCAAAATATATTATATTTATTTTCAGACGTACAGTCTTCATGTCCAAAAGGGCCGTCCGGAGGAGATGTTTGTTTTTAATGACCCTACAAAGCTCAATGAAACCATCAAAATATGCAGAAAATATTTAAACAATTTAAAATACCGGTATGTTAAATATGAGGGAAGAACAAAACTCTAAACTTGATTACGGCATTTATCTGACAGGATTATGTTGCACAGGAAAACAAAAAGCGAACATTGACTACAACATAATCAGTTATTAATATTTGGTTCGTTCTCTCTTGTTTTTGCATATGTTCATAATTTCTTTGGATGAATGTAGAATTATAAGAAACTAAATAAATAAAACAGTCGACTCGTAGCACAACTACGCAATATGATTACAAAACCTGTAACACATTTATAATAATATTTGAATAAAAGGTAAAGATGTCAGTTTTGAACGTCACTTATGGACAATACTGTATTTTCTGAAATATACTTAAAAAAAAAAAAATAAGTGGCCAATATATCTTAACATATATAGAAGTTAAAATATGTTACATAAATAAGGTTTAGTAGTAATAAGAAAAATAATCTGCTCTGAAATCTCTATTTTGGCCATAAAGTTTTAGATTTTTGTGCATTTTTTCTATGAAGCGGACGTGGTTTAAACTCAGATGTGCTGCTCGTGTTTCCCATCAGAGCTTGTGTAATTATCTCTTCATCCTAACGACTGAAGCTCCTCAAACCTGTGCATGTTCCTGCTTCAACAGCCCTTCAGACGCACTTCAGGAAATCAAGATCAGCATTTACATCACACACCAACACCAGTGTGAATGTGAAGATAATCACTGTCCATTCTTGTATAATCGAGGTCAGATTATGTTATGCATATTTTGAATATATTTGTCTGAAGGAGGACGATTATGTCCTTTCACTCTTTTTTGATCGTTTTTATTATTGTCGGCACACACTTTATCATCCACCAACTGACCGATTGTGCAAGTTTTGTTGGTTGACTTGCAAATTGAAGCGGCTGCACTTCATCGTAATGGTTGTTCAGAACTACGACCGGGCGCTCAGATTATCTGTGTGTTCAGTTAATTGCTATTAACGCTTTTCATTTGATTTCATTAGCCTCGTCTGATCGCTTTGCTTTCACTGAAGGAACTTGAGAAGTTGAGCTTGAGTTCACTTCATTATGCAGATGCAGGCGCGTTCTGTGGAGGATGACGATGATGATGATGATGATGATGATGATGGGGAAACGCGCGAGTCAATTTCGACAGGTTTATGGTCTCATCGTGTCTCTCGTTTATCCGAGGACATCAGTTTACCCACTTGTGAGTCTGTTAGTCATTTAGAGTAAAGTGGGAAAATGGAAGTAACTGTATGAACAGATTTGTGATCGCAGGTGAAGTGTTGGAGATGTTTCTGGAGTCTCTAAAAATGGCCTTAAATTTACAACTGATGTGTTGCTTGACTGAATGTTGTTGTCAGAACCAGAAAAATAGTTTTTTTGCCAGCAGATAATTAGCTGCTAACTGCTAAGCTAACTGACACACACTGACCAGCAGCAGCAGCTGACTGACCCACACTAACCAGCAGCAGAAACTGACTGACCCACACTAACCAGCAGCAGCAGCTGACTGACCCACACTAACCAGCAGCAGCAGCTGACTGACCCACACTAACCAGCAGCATTAACTGACTGACCCACACTAACCAGCAGCAGCAGCAGCAGCAACTGACTGACCCACACTAACCAGCAGCAGAAACTGACTGACCCACACTAACCAGCAGCAGCAGCTGACTGACCCACACTAACCAGCAGCAGCAGCAACTGACTGACCCACACTAACCAGCAGCAGCAGCTGACTGACCCACACTAACCAGCAGCAGCAGCAGCAGCAACTGACTGACCCACACTAACCAGCAGCAGAAACTGACTGACCCACACTAACCAGCAGCAGCAGCTGACTGACCCACACTAACCAGCAGCAGCAGCAACTGACTGACCCACACTAACCAGCAGCAGCAGCTGACTGACCCACACTAACCAGCAGCAGCAGCTGACTGACCCACACTGACCAGCAGCAGCAGCAACTGACTGACCCACACTAACCAGCACCAGCAGCTGACTGACCCACACTAACCAGCAGCAGCAGCATTAACTGACTGACCCACACTAACCAGCAGCAGCAGCTGACTGACCCACACTAACCAGCAGCAGCAGCAGCTGACTGACCCACACTAACCAGCACCAGCAGCTGACTGACCCACACTAACCAGCAGCAGCAGCATTAACTGACTGACCCACACTAACCAGCAGCAGCAGCTGACTGACCCACACTAACCAGCAGCAGCAGCTGACTGACCCACACTAACCAGCAGCAGCAGCTGACTGACCCACACTAACCAGCAGCAGCAGCATTAACTGACTGACCCACACTAACCAGCAGCAGCAACTGACTGACCGACACTGACCAGCAGCAGCAGCAGCAGCAACTGACTGACCCACACTAACCAGCAGCAGCAGCTGACTGACCCACACTAACCAGCAGCAGCAGCTGACTGACCCACACTGACCCACTGACTGACCCACACTAACCAGCAGCAGCAGCTGACTGACCCACACTAACCAGCAGCAGCAACTGACTGACCCACACTAACCAGCAGCAGCAGCTGACTGACCCACACTAACCAGCAGCAGCAGCTGACTGACCCACACTAACCAGCAGCAGCAACTGACTGACCCACACTAACCAGCAGCAGCAGCAGCAACTGACTGACCCACACTAACCAGCAGCAGCAGCTGACTGACCCACACTAACCAGCAGCAGCAGCTGACTGACCCACACTGACCCACACTAACCAGCAGCAGCAGCTGACTGACCCACACTAACCAGCAGCAGCAACTGACTGCCCCACACTGAACAGCAGCAGCAGCTGACTGACCCACACTAACCAGCAGCAGCAGCATTAACTGACTGACCCACACTA